TGGCTATTCATCAAGGATTTGTGCTTAAATGTCATGCATGCTTGTAACTCCCTATGAGTTGGAAAGAAGTTGGAAAGAGTTTCGTTGCTCCTCTGCTCAGCCGGAGAAGCTATTAGGATAAATACATTCTATACGGTAACTGTGTTTTCCTTACCTTGGCCAGTTTCTTATAAATAGGAGTGCTAAGATAAAGAAAGTAAATGGTCTGCCAGCTAACTCAGGACTGAGTGTTACTTACATGAAATGCTGAAGCAAATGCACTAGAAAAAGTAATTCCAAATGCTTCAACTAAATGAGCCATTACAACCCTGCTCATATTCTCAAGTACAAAACCAGCACCTGAGGCAAGAGCTCACTGAAGTCAGCTCAAGTCCTTAAGGCAGCGTCACTGGGGTTTCGGTCAGGGTCTTTTATACACAACCATCTGCACCCATGAACTTTCCTACTTCTTATGAATAAATCCAAGAGATCTTTTCTGAACATGAACTGCCTCTAACCATCTGCTTTTTACTGCTTTTGCTCTCCATGTAGCAACTGGAAGATGAATCTTTCAGCTGATGCTTTTCACTCTTCTATGCACAAAAGCTCCCTGCTGCCAGCAGCAGAGGAAAAAAGTTATCAGCTAAACCCAAACCCCCAAAATTGTAGGTTTCTCTGTAGTTGATTACTTCTCTAAGCTGCTCTGCTTCAAAAGCAAATCTCATTATTGCTCATTTAATGATCTCATTGATCATTAAACATTGCCTTGTACTAGAGCTACATTAACACTGGAATGATGTTTGATTAAGAATGGATAATTTCTTTGAAATGCATTCATGACCCTTCTATATACTTTTTACAAAATATCGTAAACAAAGCAATGCAATATGCATTAGCACAGCAAGCTGCAAATGTTAGAACATGCTTATATGCACACAGATGGTGGTTTTAAAGTACACTCACCTTTTTTTGTGGTTATATTTCAAATTAGAAAAAAGCAACAAGAACATTAATCCACAATAAAAAGTTTAAATGTGCCAACTTTTAAAAAAATAAATACCTGGTATTTTCAGTCCCCCCCATGGCACTTCTTTGAGCAAAACTGTTTGTAAACTTAAGTTGCATTTGCCAAACATTAGGTCTGTCTGAAGCTGAATTTCTCTGGCTGAATTTACTGCTTTCTAAAAGAGAAGGCAAATTGCTGAGCTCTATTATATATAAACATAAAAGGTCAGGCACCTTTGCTGCATTTGCAGGTTTCTAAATATAGGCCTAATAACCCTCATTAAGGGGCTTAAAAATTATGAAAGGCATCATTATTCACTTCCAATATCTTATACTAAATGTTCATTTACTCAAGTCTGTAATAGCAGCATAACACTGTAATTTTAATTTTAAAAATTTAATTTAAAAAAAAAAAAAAGGCCAGGGTTGGGGGCGAGGAACCGACTAAGGAAGTGAACACGACAGCTATACCTAAATTTATAGTGAAACTTCTGGCTCAAGTGGATTTATTCTCCTGGACACCCAAGTAGATGCACTAACTGCAGGTTACCAATTTCAATAAGATGGTCAGGTCTTGTCCAGTGCAAAAGTTGGCTCACCATAAAAACCTGGTTGGGATTTCCCTTCCAGCAGGGAAAAGTCTGCAGCGTGGTCATGCAGTTACTCCCATTTCAGCTCAGGGGGAGCCGAACTCTTACTGTTCCCAAAGCGAGCTGTCAGGAAACCCTTCTGCTGCAGACGTTTCTACTGACACACACAGTAAGCAAGCTATCTCGCCATAGAGACTTACAGCAAATCATGGGCAAAAGCATGAGATAGATGCTGTGTCTTGTTTCAAATCTTCTGCTTAACTATTAATGCTGGGCTGCAAGGTGGAGCAGTGACTGGAAAAGAAGAGGTGGGGAAGGGCTGGCCAGGAGTCAATAGCCAGAGTGATCCCACAACACTTAGGGAATCGTGGGGCTAGAGATCTGCCCTGCAGCGTACTGATCCCATAATAGCCTGTGAATTCTCTGAAAGGGACATCTGCTGAACTAAATCTTGGATTTAATTTTAATCCACGTGGCTTCCTCTGCATTTATTTAGGGCTTTCAAACTGAGAGCCTCTGTGCTGACCAAGAAAGAAAATGTGTCATTTAGTTAATGTCTTCTTGTCCCTGTATAAAACACACAGAAAGCATCCTTTCACTGACTTGTGACTCCATGCAACTGCCAGACACACGCCCACAAAGCTGTCCATGGGGCTTGGCTGACCACAAGAAAACTAAATGTTGCTCCATGACCAAAGGGCAACTTGTCAAAATGCAAACTGCTGGGTCACAGGGCATTTCGCCACAGGTCCTGCTACGAAAACACCTCTGCCACAGTCCGAGGGGAAGGTGTCTGACCTGAATGGGTGTGTCTCCGCCCAGGTTTTATACATGCTTTGTTTAATAGATGACGATCTTTTTTTCTGCCAGTCCTAAAGCTTCCAGAAATTGGACAGAAGCGACAGACACTTCAGGTGAAGAGCCTTGCGCAACAAACTGATACATGGTCCCAGCTTGACTGCATACAACTGGCAGTTCAGCAAATTTTTCATGCTGTCAACAGCTGTTGCAGGCCAAAAGGGCAGCAGAAATGGAGAACTTAATCTGTAAGAAATCATCAACAGAGGGAGCTAAGGTTAAATCAGTTCAGCGCATTACTGACTTCATTATTTCAAACTTGCGGGCACAAATCACTTCCCATTTTAGGAAGCGCAGGAATTTATTTGATCATCCACAGGTGCAGTGAGCAGAATCTGGCAGAAAGGAAGAATTATTTTTTTCTTCAGAAGAAGAAACCTACCTCCTGATCCTGTAAAGAGCTGTAGTCACCCGAGGAATAGGTACTACTGAGCAGCAGCCTTTGTAAATCCTACTGTTTGTATAACCACACTCTCTGCCAGACCCTATAGTGTTCAGAGCAGTGCCAAGGGGAGGGAATTATGCCAGCCCACGACGCGTGGCCTGAGCATGGCTTCCACTGGCCAGGGACCAAGTTACCCATTCGAAAATACAAAGTTAAAGAGTTGGTCCTCAGCGCAGTTCTGCCACAGGTTGCAAAGCTTTTCTCCCAGATCTGCATTAATTTCCTACAGGCAAAGGAAAAAAGAGCTTTCTACTACCTCGTCATTCATTTGAGGTATAATTGTAGCGCAGAGAAGTGCTTGTGTTTCATACCAACTCAATGAAGGGAACCCTTGGAGTGAAGGTACAGTTTTAACTCATTAACGCCTCACATCGAAAGCAAAAGGTAGTTTACCGATGTTCTTACTAATGCTCTACCACGTACTATCACTGGCAACCCTGCCAAGGTAGGAAGAGACTGCTGTCTGTTGAAAACAATTCCTGGAAAATACCTTCTGCTTTCCCCTTGAGAAGGCTGGGAACCAGAACCCACAACATACTGCTGTGTTCCACTCTCTGCTCCAACATCAAGTAAATTGAACTTCTCAGTGGCTCAAAACCTTGCAAATATTTGTAAAATAAGTTTGTTTCATATTACTTCCGTTTACTTCTCTCTCAGAGAAAAGTTTTTGAGAATCATAAATATTGCTTCAGTTTTCTGCTAATGAAATGGGGGGGGGAATCTCAGCTGCTTCTCTACAACTGAAGGAACTGTCATGCCCCACAGAGGCTGCTTTATGTACAATGAACAATTAAAAACTGGTGCGATAGGGGTTTAGTTAAAGCACTTTAAACTTCCCTCTTTGGGAAGTACTCGAAACCACCACCTCTGCATTGACATGCTGGAGAAAAGAAATGTTAAAGCATGAATCTGCAGTCAAGGCAAGTCCAAAAGCAAGGAAGTGCCACCATTAAGGCTGGCCTTGACAATTTGGCTCAAAACTCATATTACACCAGTCCCAGTTAGAAGACGCTTTGGGTGGGGTTTTTTTGGTAAACTTTCTCTGAGCTGTAAAGGCTGCTGGTGGCTGAAAGCTCAGCTGTTGACACCAAGGGAAAACATGTATTGCACAGAAATTAGTTGACCTGTGGCAGATGATTAATGGCGGGAGCTACAAGCATCTGGCACCTCCTCATCCCTGGGGAGAGCGCTTTGGTTAGCGCTGCTCTCTACACCTGCGAAGAATGCCCACAACCATTTATTTATACAAAGTGAATGAGGCTTCAAAGCAGATTCGAGCGGTACACATCAGACCTCTCTCTTTAGCACCAGAAAGTTTTGCTCCAACGCTGCTGCATCCTGGTCGCACATAAAGACGAAAGCAAAGCACACAACGTTGAATGGACTTTGTTAAGGTCAAAGTACAAATGAATTGGAAAAAGAAAAAACAAACAAAAAAGCGCAACATCCACAAGTGATAAGAAGCAGAAACATCACAGAGCTCTAACAACTAATGTACATTACTTATGGACAGAGTTTGCTCAAAACCTCTTTCCCCTTCTTCACTGATAACAGCAAAAAAAAAAAAAAGATATCTTAAATCACTTTGTTCTTTATGACAAAGGCTTAGAGGTTGTTTTCATTTTTGTTTTTTTTTATTTCTGGCTTCTCTGTTTCAATGAGATTACAACTATTTAAAGCATTGTTCTATCATTAGATCAGATACTGGAGGGCTTCACATTAGTTAGAAATAATCCAAGACAGCTGTTTCTTGGCTTGCTCCACACTTTTTACATTTAAAAAACCCACCCATCATCTGACTTAGCTCCCCAGTGTCTATTTTATTATCATTATTACTATTTTTACAATGGCACTTTAAAGTATTTCTTGCCCTTGAACACAATCTGAAAAACTCCAGTGTCCATTTTTCTGTACTAGATCCAAAAAGTCAGAAAGCTTGCTTGTTATCTGAGGAAATGATACATTTCCTTTGTGGGTGTCTCTGTGTGTGTGTGTGAGAGGGGGGGAGAGAGAGTCATGATGGCATACTTGTACGGGGAGTGGTTTGCATATTAATAAACAGTATATATGAGCCTTTTCCACCGAGCCTGGCACTTGGAGAGACTCCTGTGCGCTGAGGAAAGGACCACATATCACTGCACCAGAGTGAGTTCTGTTTCAGGTTTGCTTACTGCCACAGCCTGGCTCCTCTCTTTCTTCTTCTAACCCTATTCTGCCCTCCCTAGGACTACTGTTACACCAGCTGCCTGGGGGTTATTCTTGTCAATTATGCTACGTGTAGAGCAAGTACTGAGAGTATTTCGTTTTTAGAGTTTTGTTAGGTTTATTCAACGTTAAGTCTCTGACTAGTGCTACTGGCATAGCGAGGGATAACCATGAGCTCTACACATCGGCTGCAAGTGTAACTCAAGTAGCTCACCTGTACACCTTCTTTGCTACTTACAGGCATCTTTAAACTGCCTGCTGTACTTAAGACATCTGCACAACCACGTGCACTGCTACAGTCAGGCTTCAAAAATCATGGGCTGCTTTTCTAGAGGCAAAAAGGCAGATCACCAGCCTGTTGTTACAGCAAGCTCCCATTTCGCACCAGTGCCTGATGCTATCAGTACGGAGCTACTTTGATAATCAGGATACTTGTCAGAGAGACACCTTCCAAAGAAAAGACCACCTCATCAGCACAGCAGCAAAATGTTGGTGTGAGGAAGCCCTTGGCATTCTGCAGGGAGTTTTCAGTAAGTGAAAAACCATTTCAAAGCAATATTCTATTACATGTAAAGGCTGACTTACATGCATCCACTTATGTAACCAAACCAAATCTAGGCTAATGCCAAAGGAATTAGATGAATATTAAGCAGCACCAACAAATTCTTCCAGGTCATTTTTGTGCACTGTAATGTCCATTTTCCAAATTCCTGTCTTCTGGTTCACCAATGGATTAACATCCTCTGATCCTAATTCCTACCATTATTCTATAGAGGAAAACCTCCTGCATCTGCTTTTACTTGCTGTATTTTTCTGCTTTTCAAAACTCAGAAGGTTTTTTGCTGTTGATTTTTGTCTTTTACTTCAAAATTATATTCTGAATATCTGTTCAGGATTTTTTTTCTTTAAACTCTAACTGCTGTCATTTGTTTGTGTCCATAATCCTCCCACACACATTTCCTCTATTAAAAGACATCCTTTATTCATTGCTCATTTAAAACTATCTGAGCTAGCAAACCATAGCTATAAAGTATTTTTCCTGGACTTCTATGGTCCTCAGAACTGTTGGTCAACACTGGTATTTTCATACTCAAAAGTTGCAACTCTTGTAAAGCAAAAAAAAAAAAAAAAAAGAAAGAAAAAAAATTAGACACAGATGTCTTTTGTAAGTTTACTTTTGTTTATTCTTCTGTTTTCTTTAATCCAAAATAGAATCCACCTCTCCCTAAAAACGTGTACATAGTGTGAATTACTCCTTGCTGCAGATGCATGCATGCCCAGACACAATCAAATCTGTTTGGATATAAATCACGATCAAATCTATCTGGATATAAATAACACTGAAGCTTTCAAAATTTTAAACAGAAAATATACACAAAGTAATCGTTAGAGTTCTGGTTTTGTGCACACACAAGCATATTAACCAGTTGTCTTCAGTGCAGCACACTCCTGTGTCACTAACAAACATACTTCGCTGCTCTAGGGGTTGGGTCTCAAGGTTTCTGGTTGCTATTTGCTGTACAGAACCTTCTACTAAGCAGTTAGAAAGCAGAAGTAATTGAAGACGGTGCTCACTTTCAAAATGCCTTTGACCAGAATCTCACTGGCAAGTAATTACACTGCCTACAAGCCACTCACATGATGCTGGTGTTGGATAGCAAGTGTTATGCCATGCTACTAAAAGCTATGCTTATTCACATCAGCTGAAGACTTACCATATATGCTGCAAATCTCAAACAGGTGGATTTTTCACCCTTCTGCCAGTTAGCCCAAAGCTGGGGGAGTTGGGGAAGTAATCTGCGCATTCCCATAAAATAAGCTACTACAATGAACTGAAAAAATGAAATGCTTAGTTTTGGAACTCTTTAGAAGCAACTAAAAACATTGCTGGAATGACTCTGCAAAGCATGAGTATGAAATGGGATAGGAGAGAAAACAAGGACATTCAGATGTGTCAGACACATCTACACTTTGGATTTGGGTATCAGATGGCAAAGGGAGAAGGAGAATAAAGAAAGGTATACAGAAAAGATGGTTTGAAAGGTCTCACAATCTTTCTTTAGTTGATGTTTGACAACAGGAAAGAACAAATGTGGGACACCAATCTCTGTAACTGTATGCCCCAGGTAAATGAGAATTTTGTGGACAGTACTCTGGGGTAGAGCAGGGAACCTGCAGCAGTGGGCACTGCCCAGAGCCAGACTCTGCCTGCTGTTTCCATGAGCCACGGTGAAATTGGCTGCAAACTGCTGCTCGGACACTACTTTCTTCTCAAGTGTAGGGACAGACAGGTTAGGATTTTACATACCGAGCAGTTTGTGACCATAAGGCATGGGGTTTTGGACGTTTACAGCTTATGGCCAAATCTAGGTGATCCCCCAGGCTCCTGGGCAGGTGTTGCTCAGGGCTGTAGGTCCACACTTCCCAGTGCTTGTCCTCTCAAGAAGTCTGGCAATGTCCAAAGAGTGCATCAGCGAGGTCCTGGGTCTCCTCAGGCTCACTCCGTCTGTGAAAATTATTTCAAAATACCTGAAAATACACGAGATCTGTGCCCCAGCCCAGGGCACTGGTGCCCTCCTGGGCAGGGCGGTATGTGCCAGACGCCCTAGGGCAGAGCAGGAGGACACCGGGAACTTATGACCAGGAGACCTGGTGGGTGGTGCTGGAAAACTCTGCAAAGTAGATAAAACTTTGTCCAGTCTCACCCATCCTGGCTACAGGGAACATATATTGTCCTGAAAAACCTACCTAATTCTTTTTCTTTCCTGCCTATAATTGTGTTTATTTTTGGCAAGTTGTACAGCAGGTTCACAACATGCGACAGTTCAAGAACAAAGTAGTTTAGACTAGCAGGGGGAAGAAACTGGCATTTGTACTCCTCCTTGTACATACATACACACACACTGGTACATGTGGCTGGGATAGGGAAAAAAAGCTGATTTTTCACATCCAAGGAAAGATACTAGATAGCCAAGACAGTTGTTATACAAATTACTGTGCTGGACAAGATTGAGTGTTCAGGAAATGGACATGAAAACATCCTGGCAAAACCAGCAGCTGCCTTTGGAGAGCTGACTGAACCACTTAACACACAGCAACGTGACTCGCAACTGCGCTCTCTGCTTTGTAGGGATATTGTGAGGGGGTGCTGATTTATCTGGAGACTACAGAGACAGATGCAAGGCATGAATTTTACAGGAATGACTGGTGTTGGCAAGAATTAAGATTATTTAGGCTTTTGTTCTACCACAAAATGCTTCAGGGAATTCTTAAAACATCTGATGAGGAAATAAAAGACTTAAATAGTCTCTCCTGAGAAATTATTCTAACCACTCCTTAGTCTGCATCTTTCCTGAGATCTCTCCTCTTGCAATTTTATTTACCAGTATTTCGCAGTCTCAGGTGTGCAATTCATTCATTTGAAGTTCATTACAGCTTGGGAGGCTGCACAAAACGATTTTACAAGTTATTTACATAAAACTGGGGCCAAGTAGCTGCAAATCCAAAGACTGAGGATCAGACAGAAAGCAAAGTCGTCATAGATGCTCAGGCCCTAACCCAAAGAGCCTGGGACGCAAGGCAGAAGGAGCAGCACGCTGCCGAGGCAGCCCAGCGAAGCCCTGTCCGTCACCGCCTCTCTGCCTCCTTGTACCTGCTGACATGTAAACGCTCCCCCTTCCCTTCAGTTAAAATGAATGGGGTGAACTTCGGATATCTGAATTCTTATCATTTTGACTGCAGTTGCCTGAGGGGCAGTCACATGAAGAGCAGCAGCTACGAAGTCAGCTTGGAGAAACCCAGCAGACCCTGCTGTTCTCCTTCAACAGCAGTCTTGACAGTGACCACCCATTCACTGTCCAGTCACATTGGACTCTCACCTTCAAAAACACCTCTCAGAATAAGTGTTTTTCTAATCCTCCTCTTTCACCAAGATGTGTTTTTTCCCTGTGTTCTTGAAGGATTTTTCTAGAGCTCCCATTTCCCGCATCAGCAAACCAAGCCTGGAGCTTCCTTGGACAGATTATTGCTTTCAGCTCTCCTACAGCCTCTTTTTTAAACCCACACACTGACAGATTGGGCTTTCAAAAGCCCTCACTCACACAGCAGAGCTTTATTCATCAGGTCACTTATCATACTCATATCATTAGTACTCCTCAGTAATCCCACAGCAATGCCTTAAAAACTCTTCTCGTGTTAGGAGGTTAATATCCACCACAGGTTGCAAATAACCAGCACACTGGGTAAAGACATGCAAAATCCCACTAAAAAAAATATATGCGCTTTAAGATGTGCATATATCTAATCTTGAAAATCATGCTAAGAAGTATCAGGCTACAACCATTACCTTTGGGATTTGTTATTTCAAAACTCAACCCTACATAAAATTGCATAAAGAATTACTTCAGGTGATTTGTGTATTAAACAGAAAAGAGTGTGCGATTTTTTTTCTCTTTTCTCTCCAAGGTCCAGATTGCTATCTGGCATAGAAAAAGAAGGGATCAAATTAGAATGTTTATTTTCTATAATTGGAGTGGAGTGGGAAAAGAGACCATCACTTTTCAGAGAGTTTATGTCAGACTGAGAGCTGACAGGAATTAGATAGAATTACTTAAAGCTTTTCATTTTATTCTCTGTCAAAATGCAGACTGCTGTGGAAATCTTCCATTGGAAGATTTGCAGTATTCCTTTGATCTGCCAATATTCTCCAATCCTTCTCTCCCAAAAAGGGGGGGGGGAGGGGGGGGGCAGAAATTTTCTTATTTTATTTGCTAAAAAAGAATTAATAAAAGCATCTTTTGGCAGAAAAAAACCACAAACCAACAAATCATTACTATTTTTAGTTTTCAAAGGCTGAAAAATCTCTCTTAAGCCTCTAATATTTTTGACCCCATGTTAAAAGCAGGAGAAGTTTATGCTTGAGAAAAGGGAAATGAGCATTT